TGGACAGTCATGTGTTGTAGACTTACACCCACTAGGTTAACATTGCCCATGCTAATATTACTTTGTGCCTTTTGATCCCCAAAAAGGAGACCAGACTTGCATTCCGTAAGCCAGACTACATTCAAAGCGGGTTCTCCAAGTCACGGCCTCACACAATTCCTGAAAAATATGAATATTTCTCCTGGTGACAGAATTAGTCTCATCAGATTGATAGCTTGTTCCTTGATAATGAATATGAATGAAATAGTCAGAACTATCATTAATATTTTAGCTGTTAATGAGATCACCACTCTCCTCTCCCTCTGCAACTTAGCCAACTGCAATGGTCATTTCAAGCTGTGACTGGAATTGTTGTAAATGTAATTGAAATCCCACAGCTCAATCCATATCTGCATATTATTTCTGTTCAGATAAAATAGAGATTTTCCAAAAAGAAAAGGATTAACAAAGCAAAGAAAATAGACACGGATGCCCCCAAATTATTTTAATTTGGAGGAAAAGTCTTGCTAAAATAGTAAGAATGATAGCAATTTTTTTTGGGGTGGTGGGGGAGAGGATAACTTAATTGTAAACTGATGGCTCAAATGAGATGAAACCTTACTAGATTGCAAAATCGCAACTCTGTTTTAATGATGTGTATTACTGCATCAGCACACACAATATGCGTTAGATCTAATACACTGATCTTGAGCTCTCTTGTGTTTTCAATGTGAATTAAGACATTATGCAAATGCGCTTACTATCAGGAAGCAGCAATCACTGCAAGCTCACTGCTATTCCCTTACTTGGCACTTGGTGGCTCTTGGAAGAATTTGTACCAGTCATAGTACCAGGACTTACCTAGTAATAATAGTTTTCTTTTCTCTTGGTTTCCACCATGTGGATTAACAGTGAAATTATAAAACCTTTTCTTTCAAAATAAACTTCTGCTAGATCTGCGATATATCTTTGTATAGTGCTGTCAGAAGCAACTAATTAAATGTATAATATTTGTAGACTTGTATGATGGTAGTGATGAGTCTACTTGCTCTACAGCCACTCAAATCGGGGCTGATATGATGAACGAGAGGAAGAGCATCTTTTGCCTTTTCTTCACCAGCTCATCGATCAGGATGGTCTGCATTTCGCTGTTGCAGTTTGCAATAACTCAGAGGCAATTGGGTCTTCATTTAGCTGGATGTGAGAAGAATGAGTAATAATTATTAATAATCCTTGCATTTGATATATCCTTACCTTATCCTTGCCTTATCACGTCTTCGAGGCGTCTCAAAGCGCTTCACAGAATATACTGTAAAGTGAATTGACTGTATATTTTGTGGACTAGATTGAGCTGTTAACAACTGGATGAGGATGGAAAAAGGCTAAAGTTGAACAACCTGCGTGGGAGAGTGTGGATTAAAAAGATGTTTAATTAAAGTGCTGACAAAGATTGATGAACTGTAACAAGACCTTTTTTTTGGGGGGGATGGTTGAGTGGGTCTTCTCATGTCCCAAGAACGTGCACATTTAAATGCAGTATTGGAATAATGCGTATAATTGCACTGCTTTCCGGAGTGGTTTTCGATCATTGTAGTTTTCGACCTCACCACAACGGGGAGGCATTGAGTGAAAGGTTGTTCTGAACCAAATTACATGGACATTTTTTTTACTTGAAAAAGATTGACAAGTACTTTATTTTTTAAAAAAATAATTCAATACTTATTCTTCACTGAAGATGAATCAAAATTGTGGTTCAACTTGAAGGAATCGAACATTGGTTTAGTATAGGGAAATTGTTTCATGTCGATGAGTTACAAAGAAGTGATTCAATCTGCCTTGTGATTCGGTTTGGTATAAAGGTATCTGGAGCCTTTTATTGGGTTACACTGGGTTCTAATTGCCCTCGTAATCCAAATTTACCCCCAGTTTCAATTAATTAGCTTTTGGTCTAATAAATGTTTAAGGGATGTTGCTGGCACAATTTCACATCTAATTAACTATATTTTGTAAAGTGCTTCAGACGTGTAAATACATTTCATTACATGTGAATTGAGCTACATAAACACACGTTTATCAAATTCCAACTTATCCAGAAAGTGTGTTTTGATAATCATCACCTTTGGGAGCTGTTTAATTCCTCCAGCAAAATGGTGTGAAACGTGCTGCGATATTTTGACATATTCCTACCTTTTCGAAGGGATGTTTTGGTGTTCTCTCTGAAAGGTTGTGAAATAATGTGCTACAGTCACAGCTTTTTAGAGAGCAGGGTTATTTACATAAAAATTGATGCCTGATGCATCTATCAACAATACTCATTTCACCCACACGGTGGCAAGGTCCAGCACTCTGGTCTTTTAAACGTGGAGTTTGAATGTGTTCTATGAATCAAATAATGTAATGATTTTGCTCCTCCTTACCGGACTTTGGAGACGTATGCCACTTTATTCATCAGTTTCATTTTTTTGGGGGGGGGGGCAAAATAACCCACCTTTTGATTTTATTATAATACAGCATGCGGATTACTTTATCCCACAAAACATATAGTCAATTAACTTTACGGTATATTCTCTGAAGCGCTTGAAGACGTCTCGAAGACGTGATAAGGCGCTGTATCAAGTGCAAGTATTATTATTATTTTGCTTTCACACATACAAAATTGAGGGTGGGGGGAAGAAGTCAATCCTTATATTTTTAAACATCTCATTCTTGAAGTCTGAATAAAATACTTCTAATGTATTTAATCAGGGAGTACAGCAGTTTATCAGAAACGAACACTGCATTGGTATGCGTTGGCTCTCAAAAGAAAGCTAGATTTAAAAAAGAAAAAATCTATTTAATAGTCCTTCAAATTAGGTATTTTTAGACTAGTTTGTAATACTTAATAATAATAATCCTTGTATTTGACATAGTGCTGCATCGAGTCATTGAGTGCATCACAGAATATATTGTAAAGTGTAGTGACTGTATTTTGTGGGAGACACGGCAGCCAATTGCGCACAGCAGTGTCCCACAAACAATCTATCCCGCAATCCCTCCGCCTCACCCCCTCTCTTGCCTGCTTCAAGTCCTGTCTGAAGACTTTCCTCTTCGATCGTGTCTTTGGTCACCCTCCCACCCCCACCCTCCTCCCCTTCTGACCCCAACTCCCAGCTCAGGACCAAAACCCCTGGATTGTCCAGCGCCCTGGGACATCTTTCCGACGTGAAGGGGCGCTATACAAGTATAATTTGTTGTTGTTGGATTGAGTGACCAATTTATTTATTCATTTTGAATATATTTATGATTATTTTCACATATATATATATGTTTTTACTTGCATTTAGTATAACATTTACATTAGAAGATAATCACATCTAACAATGTTATGGCATTATCGGGTGTTTTGCCGTGTCCTTTGTCACCGATATTGCTGGCCTTTAAGGTCATCAGGCCATTCAATTAGTGCTGCTTCCTAACATTATTAACCCTTGCTTGCCTTGACTTCTGCCACATTCGTCAACGCTGGATGAGTTATGCTGTTCACTTGACCAAGTGATTCCAGGCTGGAAATCAGCCGCATGCTTAAAACTGTTTTATTTGCCTGCTATTATTGTCTGAAAGCGGATTTGTTTCTGTCACAACAATTACGATCAGAGCATTTCCTAACCTGAAGGCTAATCTTAACCTTAAGGAGGGAAGAAACATTTGGAATATGTCCCTAACCACAATTTACCATCACTGCTGTAAGCTGGAATGATGTGATGCTCATCAACAGCAACCAGGAGCACAAATGTTGACCCTTTTTGGTGAAAGGACAGTTTTTTTTTGGGGGGGTGGACGCTGGGGAGTTAACAACCTTGCTATTAAAACGTTTCCATAATGGTTATGCCTGCACCCTATTGATTCCTCTCCTTAACATGAAAGTAACTGTGAATGCCAGGAAGAGTATTTGCTGCTCAACAGTACACCGAATCACTTCTGTCGATGGCAATCACATTTACTAGGAAACCAAGTGCGTGCTGTGTGTCTGTCTGTCTCAGCGACTTTTAAACAAGTTGCTTATGTAAGGCACTGTGTAAAGAAAACAAATAAGTAAATAAATAAAAATAAAACGACCACACTGTACAGATAAATTACTTCGAATTTTTTTTTAACGCTTCTTTTTATTGCTCCTGCTTTTTTCCCCACAGCGTTACATATATATATATATATATTTCACGGTGGTGAAATTGTCCATAAAGTGTTACACGTGTGTGTGTGTGTGGGGGGGGGGGGGGGGGGGGGGGTTGGAAGGTGGTTTGTGTTGGAGTTGCAGAGAACCAGTCTGCGATGCCCTTTACATAGAGCTTCTGCTCAGACAATAGTTTCTGTACCACTGTTTTTTAGATTAAAACCCCAACTGACTGAGTGACTGGCTGTATTGACAGCTGCCTCCCTCCCCTCCCATCCCCCCCCCCACCCCCCACCTATTTTTCCCTTCCAAAAACCTTTTAATCCTATTAATTAAAGCAACCTCCTGATTGGGTAGACAGCATGTCCCAACAGGCGAGTGTCTGTAATAGCCTGAAAGTGGGATAGAAAGTGAGTCACATCCCTTCCCAGTGCCAGGACACACCAGAGAGAGACACACACACACATATATATATAATATATATACACATACACAAGAGAGGAACTGTGTGCACACTTTTGTGGGTGTGTGTGGGTGTGGGTGTGTGTGTGTGGTGTGTTATGGTGTGTGTGTGGTACCCAAGTCGTTGCAGCTTTCTTGACCAACAGCATCTAAGAGCGAGGGAGCAGACAGGAGGAGGAGAAGAAGAAAAAGAAAAAGAAGAAAAAGAAAAAGAAGAGGAGGAGGAGGAGAGGAAAAGGAGGAGGAGGAGGAAATCCTCGTGATTAAAAGTGACCGATTCTCCTTCTTTTTGTTTTAAAACCATTTATCTATATTTTTTTTTGGGGGGGGTGGGGTGGGGGGGGGGGGTACTCTTTTACATCTATATATATATATATACACACACATATATATATATATATATTAAAAAATGATGAACGTGGCAGAAGGAGACCTATTCCGCAGCGCCGCCAACATCATCTCCGCCAAAGGGAGGGATGAGTTGGGTTCTCTGGTCAACGACACCTACATGGATCTGCCCCAACGCTATGGCCAGTCCGCCTTCTCCTACAGCGGAGCTGGTGGCCGAGCTGCTGAGGCCAGAGAGGGGTGGACCTCCCCCCGGGGCTGCTGCCCTCCTTACCCGAACCCCAAAGTGGCGGAGAGCAGCGGGGAGCAGACCGGGGAGGAGGAGGAGGAGGACGAGGAGGAAGAAGAAGAAGATGGGGAGGAGGAGGAGGAAGAAGAAGAAGAGGGAGACAGCGACGGTCGGGCCGCCGAGGGGACCAGGAACCCGGGCAGCGACCAGGAAGGCAGGTCCAGAAGTTCGAGTGGAAAGAGAGCCAAAGAGACCCGGTCCCTGAGGCTCAGCATCAACGCCCGGGAGAGGAGGCGGATGCACGACTTAAACGACGCCCTGGACGGCCTGAGGTCGGTGATCCCTTACGCCCACAGCCCCTCGGTCAGGAAACTGTCCAAAATCGCCACCCTACTGCTGGCCAAGAACTACATCCTGATGCAAGCCCAGGCTCTGGACGAGATGAGGAGGCTGGTGGCTTACCTGAACCAGGGCCAGGCGCTGTCCGGACCCCTCCCGGCCGCGGCCGCCTTGACCACCAGCCTCGGCTCCTTCGGCCAGTCCACCGTCTACCCCTTCACCGGCACCACCCTGGGCTCGTGCCCCGACAAGTGCGCCGTCTACCCGGGGACACCGTCCAGTCTGTGCAAACACTGCAACGAGAAGCCTTAACCGGACCACCGACACCCCCCCACACCCCCCCCCCCCACCACCACACACCACACACCACACACCCCAACACACACACACCACACACCCCAACACACACACACTTTTTTTTCTTCTTCTGTCGGTCCATTTCACAACCAATATCTGCATATCCATCCATCCATTTATCTCTCTATCTATGTCTCTATCTCTCTTTTTCTATCTTTATCTCTATGTGTGTCTCTATCTCTCTCTATCTCTATGTGTGTCTCTATCTCTCTCTATCTCTATGTGTGTCTCTATCTCTCTCTATCTCTATGTATGTCTCTATCTCTCTCTCTGTATATATCTCTCTCTCTATCTCTATGTATCTCTCTCTATCTCTATGTATATCTCTCTCTCTATCTCTATGTATATCTCTCTCTCTATCTCTATCTCAATGTATGTCTCGATCTCTCTCTTTTACTCTATCTCTATGTATGTCTCTATCTATGTCTCTCTCACTCTATCTCTCCATCTATGTCCCTATCTCTCTCTCTCTCTATGTCTCTATCCATGTCTCTCTCTCTATCTATCCATTTGAGTAGTTGTTTGTTTGTTTGTTTATTTATTTTGTTTATTTATTGACACCCGCATTTTTTTGGGGGGTGTGGGGGGGGTTTCTCACTTTCCGTCTGTCTGTTTGTGTGTTTGTGTCCAAAATCGACACATGTACTGAGCTCCTGTTTCGGTTCCCTCGAGTAGTTTTCCTTTTTCTCCCCCAGTTTTCCTGTCCCACGCCATCAACTTTCAGCTCACTCACCTGATACACATCCCCACACCTGTCCCTGGCACCCGATCGATCAATACGAATCGATTGATGGATAGGGAAAAAAAAGAAATGGGTCCATTTATCTATTTTTTAAAAAAACACACCCACCAGAACTGGAGTGATGGAATTCATCAAAGTTATGGTTTTTTTTGGGTGTTGGTCGCCTCGTTTGGAGAGTTTCACGATTACTAACTATGCAACACGTCCTTTAAACCATCGCCACATGTAAATACAAGAGGCAAATATCTGGTTCGAAACGAACACCTTATCACTGACATCGCTGTTGAGAAAACCGAGGCATTTATATTTGTGTTTTCCCCCCCAAAAGGACTTCAGTTTTGTGTCGGACTTGACTTTTTAAGGCGCACTTGACGTTGTGGAATACAATCAGGACACCAATAAGTCATGAATGTGCGAAATCCGCCTTTTTAGGGAGAATGATTGTATATTAAATTGCATTCCATGTTACTTAACCAGACACTAAATCCACCCACACCGACACGACGTGTTGGTGGTGGAACAAAAAAAAAACAGTGTTTGTCTGCGCTGTTGTTGTTAACTGAGTCGTTGAGAAGTTTGGTTTCATTGTAAAGGAAACAAAAAAAAAAGGTACATTTTGCAAAGTCACATGGATTTGTTCTGCTGAGTGTGAATTGCTTATTTCATCCACGATGTATTTAATTGAATAAAATTAACGGTAAAGACGGATGGCGTGGGTGATGTTATTTTCTAACTCGTTTAGTGTTGATTTCTCGAGGGGGAAAAAAAAAGCGAGTCTTTTTGGGGGGATGGGGTGGGGTGGGGGGGGGGGAGAATGTTAGCACATCCACTCAAGCAATGAGCAGAGGATGAATTCTTATACGACTTATCGTAATAATACATCGAACGACATGGACAGTGGTTATTTCACAACATGTTTTGATGTGTGTGTGTGTGTAAAAAAAAAATGCACCTTATTATTACCTTCAAAAGCCCAAACAGGTTTGCTTCGTCGAACAGACCTGGGTCAATCAAAGTCGATCTGGACTACTATTTTATTATACTTGCGATGCAATTTTTTTTTTAAATGAACCCCAGAGGTTTGCTGCCAATAAGGCGTTTGAAAGCATTTGCTCAAATATTTTTTTTTAAACTTTTAACGATTGCTGATGATTTTTTTTTTGCATGAACTTCCACCAACGTCTGCAAGCAGATATTTTTTTTTTTTAAAAAAACGCCAGTTTTTATTCCTGTTCCTGCTGGGGAGCACAGACCAGTTTCTGTTGTCAAACCGGTTGAAGCATTTGATGGCGTTGTTACCTGAAACACGTTTAAGCAGATTTGTGTATGGGTTTGTGTGTGTGTTTGTAATCTGCATGTAGAAGTTTTGGTTTGGTATTCATCGAAGTTCCAGCCTTTTTTTTAAAGTTGCATTGTTATGCAAATGTAAAGGGTTAAACGGTTATATTAGGATTAAAAAAAAAGTGCCTGTGCCATTAGTCCCATTCCTTTTTTTAAAAAAAACAAGTTCCCAAACTTTTTCACAGCAATGTGCTTCCTTAGAATTGTGCCCTGTCGATCTTTAATGTGCTCTTAATACATTAACTTTGAAGCGCTTTGAGATGTCTAGAAGACGTGAAAAGCACTATATCAAATGCAAGGATTATTATTAATACACACGTATTTACTGGAGCTTTTACCACCCCACCCCCCCTAGTGAAATTACCCCTTTCCTGACTGCATACCAGTGTTTTGTACAAGGTGGTCTTTAAAGATTTAAATGATGATTTAGAAATATTAGCCAATACTTCAGAGAGGGGATCCTTTTCCTGTGTATTTAACAGATACTATTTATTTGTTGGTTAGTTTGTTTGTTTGTTTGTTTATTGACTGCCATTTTATTATTACTTAACAGTTTTCATATCCTGGGAGATTCTGGGATACTAAAGTTATATTGTTAGATTATGCATCCCGTTTTTAAGCGGAAATAGAAAGGTAAGTAAGAGCTATATTAAAGTAAATTAAACTTCTTTGAACCATTCACTTTGCATGCATAGCAGAGTCAGTTACAAGTGTGTTATGTGTTGCATGGTCACAAGGTTTATTAATTATGTTTCCTTTCCTCGCCTACCATGAATCACAAACCTCTAGGATATTATTATTTGTACCAATGTTTGAGGTCATTGTTGTAAACTAGTAGATCAACTGATTTTAGGGGTGATTGATAAAATGTTTTAACAAAAGCATTCCACGTTCTGTAGTTGGTATCGATGCTTAATGGGCCTACTTCTCCAAGCGCTTTGAGACTTCTAGAAGACGTGATAAGGCGTTATAAAGCAAATGCAAGGATTATTATTATTACTTACTACAGAAGCTGTTGACCATCAGCTCCACCGACCATTATCCTACTCTGGGACCACCCCCAAAAGCCCATCAATCGGCTTTGAGACAAAGTAATGCTGTGAGACGTCTCAACGACGTGATAAGGCACTGTATGAAATGGAAGGATTATTATGCATTAAAAGGAATAATCTTTTTGATAAAATTGAGCATGTTTCACAACACAAATCACAAGACCAGGCATCACTGACATGTTATAATGTCCTGGTGCTTCCTGATAACATTCTTGCTTTTTATTGGATGGTCTTCTTTCATGGTATAAATCGTAACAAAATATTGTCTTTTAGTTATTTGCATAGATTGGTGACTTTGCTGCCATCCTTTCTATTTTTATACCCATATAATTGTAACTTCTGATACCACCAGAAACCATAATTTGTTATCGTAAAATTAATCTATAAAACTTCCTAATCATTGTTATGGATTCTAAAATGTTAAAATAAAATTTTAAAAAATCTTTGAAATTTTCTGGTACAAATTTGTAAACTGCAGCGAAACTTTTGCATTAAAAGCACACCTGTTGAGTTCAGCAGAGAAGCTGAGGTTTCTAAATACTTGGCTGGAAATATACTTATAAGGACCATCATACTTGTTTTGAATCAGACAAGTATAAAGAGGAAAAGATAATGTTGTATGAACAATCAGCTATATAAAAGCTAGAGAGTTTTGTTCATTGATGCTTTTAAACATTAGACCAATAGTAATTTGGTCACTCAATCCACGACTGTTTGTGGGGACGCTGTTGTGCACAATTGGCTGCCACGTTTCGCCCACAAATATACAGTCAATTCACTTTACAGTATATTCTGTGAAGCGCTTTGAGATGTCGAGAAGACGTGAAAAGCGCTGTATCAAATGCAAGGGATATTATTATTATTAACCACTACTGTTAGAAAACCTCTTTGTAAATATTCAAATCACTACAGTTGGAATATTATTTCTTTGATTACTCATAGACCTATTTAATCGTTAAATGACATATCTAAAGTAATTTTGATAAATCAAATTTGTTGCATGCTGTCTTTCAGTTTTGAATATTGGCTGTAGTTTATTCCACTGAAGAGAATAGCAATTGCCACTGACAGCGAAAAATGTCAAATTTCCCAAGTGTGCAGTGTTTATTTTCTTTGTAATTCCAGTGTCCAATATTATTTTATAGACCTGTTTTGATTGTATTCTTCAGATAAGGATGTTGTATTATTGTAATATTGCACAGCTACTTTGAATGCTTGTTTAGGCTATGCAAAAAGATGACATATTGTATGGAATAAATATGTATTTATTCAAATTATTGCATATGAATCTGCTCCTCTTTGATTCTATGGTGAAGCTGGCGAATCTGAACAGCCAAACTGTGGCACGTTGCATCTGGGTATGTTCTCAGCATAGGTTTCCAATTTGTATTCTGAAACCGAAAAGACGTGTTATTTAAGTGAAATTGAAGAATATGGAGAGATTATGTTTACAATGTAATCTGTGCGTTTCCATCATTGTTTTCAATTAATTTTGTAGCAAGAAGGCAACTGCTGTGACATTTGCGAGTTTTTCATTGAACACTGTTTTCAAGAATATTATAATTCCATTCCATATTATTGTTACTGTCAGTCAAGTACTCCACTTTAGATATGGTGCCTATTTTGTATTGGGGATCTGTTGAAGTTGCATCATGTTTCTTCACTTTTAGTTTTGTGCTCAAATTCTGAGGCTCTCAATAGTGGAGTATCACCAGTGAAGCTAAAACTTATCACATCTTCACGGTTGGAACAGGGAGAAGGAAGAATAAAAAATCTTGGTGATTTGGGGGAAACCTTACATCTGTTTCAGATAGGAGATT